CTTCTTTGTAGGTCTGGTAAAATTTGGCTGTGAAACCATCTGGTGTGGGACTTTTTTGTTGGGAGATTTGTTATTGCTGCTACAATTTTGTTACTTGATATTGGTCTGTCCAGGAGTTCCATTTCTTCTTCTTCTTTTTTTTTTTTTTTTTTTAGACAGAGTCTCACTCTGTTGCCCTGGCTAGAGTGAGTGCCGCGGCATTAGCTTAGCTCACAGCAACCTCAAACTCCTGGGCTCAAGCGATCCTCCTGCCTCAGCCTCCCAAGTAGCTGGGACTATAGGCATGTACCACCATGCCCAGATAATTTTTCTATATATTTTTAGTTCTCCAGATAATTTCTTTCTATTTTTTTTAGTAGAGACGGGGTCTCACTCTTGCTCAGGCTGGTCTCGAACTCCTGAGCTCAAACTATCAGCCCGCCTAAGCCTCCCAGAGTGCCAGGATTACAGGCATGAGCCACCATGCCCGGCCTCTATTTCTTCTTGATTGAGCCTAGGGAGGTTGTTGTGTTTCCAAGAATTCATCCATTTCCTCAATGTTTTCAAGTTTATGTGTATAGAGATTTTTAAAATATTCATAAATGATATTTTGTACTTCTGTGGCATCAGTTTTAATATCTCCTTTTTCATTCCACAGCCAATATCATACTGAATGGGGAAAAATTGAAAGCATTCCTGCCTAGAACTGGAACTAGACAAGGTTGTCCACTGTTACCACTTCTATTCAACAGAGTGCTAGGAGTTCTAGCCAGAGCAATCAGGCAATAGAAGGAAATCAAGGGCATCCAAATAGGGAAAGAAGAAGTCCAACTATAACTCTTTGATTACCATATGACCTTATATCTAGAAATCCCCAGAGATTCTGCCAACAGACTCCTGGAATTGATAAATAAATTCAGCAAAGTCTCAGGTTACAAAATGAATGTACACAAATCAGTAGCATTCCTATACACCAACAACAATCAAGCTGAGAATCAAATCAAAGATTCAAAATATTTCACAATAACAACAAAGAAAATAAATCCCTAGAAGTATATTTAATCAAGGAAGGGAAAGCCCACTACAGGTAGAACTATGAAACACTGAGGAAGGAAATCACAGAGGATGTAAACAATGGAAAAACAAATTATGCTCATGGGTTGGTAAAATCAACATTGTTAAAATGTCTACACTACCCAAGGCAATTTTCAGATTCAATGTAATCCCCATTAAAATACCAATGTCATTTTTGGCAGATCTAGAAAAAATAATTCTATGCTTCGTATGGAATCAGAAAGGACCCTGTATAGCAAAAGCAACCTCAAGAAAAAGAACAAATCAGGAGGCATCACTTTACTAGACATCAAGCTATACTACAAGGATATAGTAACCAAAACAGCATGGTACTGGCACAAGAACAGAGACATAGACTAATGGATCAGAACAGAGAACCCAGATGTAAAACCCTCCTCATATTGCCATCAGATCTTTGACAAAGCAGGCAAAAACATACAATGTGGAAAAGAATCCCTATTTAATAAATGGTGCTGGGAAAATTGGATAGCCATATGTAGAAGACTGAAACAGGATCTGCACCTCTCACTACTCACAAACATTAATTCATGATGGATAACGATTTAAACCTAAGGCATGAAACTATAAGAATTCTGGAAGAAGAGGTTGGAAAAACTCTTACTGATATCAGCCTAGGCAAACAATTTATGAAGAAGACCCCAAAGTCAATCACGGCAACAGCAAACATAAATAAATGAGGCCTCATTAAATTAAAAGGCTTCTGCACAGCCAAGGAAGTTATCGATAGAGCCAACAGACAACCTACACAATGGGAGAAAATATTTGCATGCTACACATCTGATAAAAGGCTCATAACCAGAATCTACAAAAAACTCAAGCAAATTGCATTGCAAGAAAACATCAAACAACCCTGTTAAAAAATGAGCAAAAGACATGAACAGAAGCTTTTCAAAAAAAAGATAGGCTAATGGCGAATAAACATATGAAGAAATGCTCAACATCTCTAACCATCAGGGAAAGCAAATCAAAACCACAATGAGATATCATCTAACTCCAGTGAGAATGGCTTTTATCAAAAAGTCCCAAAACAATAGATGCAGCCGTGGTTGCAGAGAGAAAGGAATACTTATACACTGTTGATGGGACTGCAAACTACTTCAACCTCAATGGAAAGCAGTATGGAGATACCTCAAAGAACTAAAAGTAGATTTACCATTTTATCCAACAATCCCACTACTGGGAGTTGACCCAAAGGAAAAAAAAGATATTTTACAAAAAAGACACTTGCACTTGAATCTATACAGCAGCACAACTCACAATTGCAAACATGTAGAAACAACCCAAGTGCCCATCCTTACATGAGTGGATTAATAAAATGTGGTATATGACCATGGAGCACTATTTGGCCATTAAAAAAATGTAACAACCTAGATAGAACTGGAGCCATCCTCCTAAGTGAAGTATCACAAATATGTAAAAATAAACACCACTAATAGTATTCACTATTAAATTGGGACCAAATGATCAACACTCATGTGTACGTGTGGCAGCAAAATTCAAGGGAAATCAAGCAGATGGGAGGCGGTGGAGGAAATGGGTAAATTCACACCTAACAGGTACAATGCACACTCTCTTGGTGATGGACACACTTATAACTTTGACTCAAACTGTAAAAATGTAATTCATGTAACCTAAAATGTTTGTACCCCTGTAATATTCTGAAAATTTTTAAAAAAAGAATGAGGAAAATCACGAGTTACCATTGCTTTCTTTCTAACAAAAACAACCTAGATAAGCAATAAAATCATAGTTTTTTTCAAATATGTCTAAGGCCTTAATATACAAATAAACCTGCATCAAGTAATTTCCAGAATATGACAGTTCACTCTTAGGAATGGAGCAATCTATGACCATTTTTATCCCTTGAGACATAGTGAAAAGGAAGAATCTACTGTGTACAAGGATAAAGGAAAACAAGAAAAAATTTTAACAAACTTTTAACAATTCCATGTTGGATGATATGATAAATTGGAATTTTAAAAAGCCCCAACCACAGAACAGGTTTGCACTCATCTACCAAATATTTGCCCTGATATTTCACTGAATGCATGGAATAGTATTTTGAAGGCTGAAGGCAGGCAGGAGAGTGGAGGTAAATTCCTCCAAGGCACTTCAGGCCTTCATCAAATGCACTGTTGTCAATCTTCCAAGGCTGGAGATAGGGCAACAGGAGAGATTTTTCTAGGAACACAAAGGCAGGAACAAGAATGGAGAATAAAGAAATTTCTCAGCAACCCAGACAGCAGATAACAAAGAATTAGGCTGTAATTAGGAGTGACATATAAGTGGTTCTGAAAGCCAGCAGCAATAGTATAAAACATAAAGAGATTTCTAGAATCTCACATATTCTCAGATCCCAAGCCCTCTAAAAGAGAAATTCCACATCCCATTATCAGAACATTCTGTGCCAACGGTAAACTGACTCTAATTAAAGCTACAACAGAACTCAGACCCACCTCAAATACAGATTAGATAAACGAAGCCCCCAATACCGGAAGCCCTATAAAAAAAAGATGCAAGCCATTTTTGGAGGAATAAAAATGATTTAGTTTTCTTCAGCAAAAATTTGGAGTTCAGCAAAAAATTGGAGATTCTAATACACATAAAGAATCAAGAAAATGTGATCATGGTAAAGTGGAGATACTCTTAATAGAAATAACTTCCCAGAGGGACGAGGTGTTGGAATTATCAGAATTTTGTTTAAATAACTGTGGTGAATATATTAAAAGATCTACTGTAGAAAATAAATAGCATGCATGAATAGATGGAGATAGATGGAAAATTTCAGCAGATATGTGGAAACTATGAACTATTTGAACCAAATGAAACAGTAATGAAAATATAATACCAGAAATGATATATAATTTAATGAAATGAAAAGCAGATTGCACATTACAGAAAAAATAATCAGAGACCTGAATACTACTCAATAATTTAACCAAACTTAAACATTAAAAAAAAAAAACCTGAAAAGAAAAGAAAACAGAGCAAGATCTGTGGGACAATATCAGAAAGTCTGCATGTGAATAATTAAAGAAGCAGAGGTAGAGAAAGGAGAGAACGGTGTAAAAGAATATTTAAAGAGACAGTGCCTGAGAATTTATCAAATATTATAAAAGAAATCAACCAAGGAATCTAAAAATCAACCCCAAAGAAACCTCAAACAAGATACATAAAAAGAAAAGCACACTACATCATATCATGGTCAAACTGCAAAACACCAATGACAAAGAGAATATCATAAAAATAGCCAGAAAAAATGCTTCCTACATATAAGGGGACAATTTGAACAATGACTAATTTCTAATCAGAAACGATGTGGTCTAGACAGAACATCCTCTTTTAAAATCTGACAGAAAATAAAATTGTCAATCCTAAACCAAAATTATGTGTTCAGTAAAAATAGTATTAAAGAAGGAAGTAAAGACATTTAAAACAAATAATAGGTGAAGGTTTTTGTCAACAACAAACCTACGCTACAAGAAATGTTGAAAGAATTTCTTCAGACTGAAGAGAAATAATAGCAGGTAGATGTTTGAATTTTCAAGATTTGTAAAGAGCACCATAAAGTGACATTTTCATCGCATGTATGTTTGTGTGTATGTGTACACACATGCACAAACATATATATGTATATGTATATACACACATACACACACAAACATTTCTCTAAAACATAATTGACTGTTTAAAGAAAAATAGCAATAACATATTGTTAGGTTTATAGCATATTTGGAAGTAAATATGAAACAACAAGAACACAAAGAGAAGAAGGTAAATGGAGTTGTAATGTTATAAACTTTACCTTTCTTTGGAACTAATATAATTATTATGTGAAATAGACTATATCAAGCAAAAGATGCATCTTGCATCTGTATGCAGATGTGGATAAGTAACACCCAGAAGCATAACTTAAAATCAATAGAAAATAAAACAAAGAATATTTGGACCACAGAGTGCACAAAACCTCCAATCCAGGCCACCAACAACAGAAGGATGCAAACCCGTCGATTCATGATGGTCAAATAGTGCAGAGGCCTACAAATGGCCATGTAGCGATCATAGGCCATCACCACCAGAAAGAAGATCTCAGCTCCACCAAACAAGTGTTCTATAAAGAGCTGGCCCATGCATGTTGGGAAGGAAATCGTCCTCTTATCACAAAGTAGGTCTACAAGCAATTTGGATGAAATGACAGTGGAATAAGCAGCAATCATGAGTGACAGGGAGGCCAGGAAGAAGTACATTGGGGAGTCCAAGGAGAGGCTGCTGATAACAGTCACCACGATGAGCAGGTTGCCCACCATGGTCACAACGTATGTGAGTAAAAACGTCACAAATAACGCTTTTTGCCCATTGGGATCCTGAGAAAGGCCCAGGAGGACAAATTCAGTCATATTGTTACTCTCTCCCATTTACTCTTCTGTAAGGCTTGTATCAGAGCTGAGAGCTCAGGCGACCAGCACCTGTAATGAAATTGTGACAGGACTATGAACACACCCACGATGTCATGGAGCACACCTTCATCATCATACCTTCAACGTGACTTACATACAATGAACATTTAGTCAGTATCCAGTGAGTTCCTATTCTAAAGATCACACTAGACCTTCCTTTAACAACTCCATTTCTCCTCAGATGATTTTCCTTGGGGCCTACAGGTAAAAGTGTCATATAAACCTCTTCTGAAATATCTCACACAATATTATGCTAATCTAGTATCATACCTTTGATACTTCATGGCTGAAAGAATATTCTGTCTTCATGAATCTGTCATTAAATATCAAGAGACTTGACTTTGAACTGTATTAAATAACTACAAAAATAAAAAAAAGTTATTTTCTTATTCCAAAGAAAGCAAGAAAATAGAAACAAATATATGAGGAAAAATAGATAAAAACAAAATAGATGGGGCAAAAAGCAAATACCCAGATAGTAAGTTTAACCCAATCATATAATTAATTCTATTAAATATAAATGGATTGAACACACCAATTAAATCTATTTCATACTAATTTTAAAAAGAAAGTCTTAATTATAAGTTGTTTACAAAAGATACATTTTAAATATAAAGACCCCAGAAATGTTAAAAGTAAAATGATGGGAAAAAATACATCATGTAAACAAGAAGCATAAACTTGTTTGGTGATGTTTGTATTAGATTGTGTAAACTTCAAGACAAAGGGTATTAGTAGATATACAGAAAGACAATTCAAAGTGATAAAAGGTCAATTTGTTTAAAGTGACATAATAATCTTAAATGTCTATGTGCCTCATTCAGAGTGTCAAAATTTGTGAAGATTGACAGATCTAAAGGGAAAAATAGACATATTTATACTCATGGTTGTATATTTTAACCCTCACATCTCAGTAATTGGTAGAAGAACTAGACAAAAAGAATCAATAAGAATACAGAAAATATAAAAAGTACTATCAACCAACTTGACCTAAAGGACATTTATACTTTATACCCAACAAATGAAGGATGTGCATTGTTTTACATAGTATATGATGGTCCATAAAACAAGTTGCAATAAATACAAAAAGATCAAAATCCTACATTGTATGTTCCTGACCAAAACAAAATTAAACTAGAAACATCAAACTCTATATATTTGAAAATTAAGCAACACACTTCTAAATAACCAATGGGTCAAAAAAGAAATTTCAAGGAATGTTTTTTTATTTGTTTATTTCAAAGGAATGATAATGTAACCATACCAAAAATTGTGAGATAAAGCAGTGCTTGGAGGAAATATTTAGCTTTAAATACTGGTGTTAGAAAAGAAGAAAAGTAAAAGATTAATTATCTACTCATCCACATTAAGAAGCAAAAATAATAATAATAAAAATATAAAGCAGGCATGATGGAGAAAATAATTAGATCCAAACATCAGTAACATAGAAAATAGACAAACAATAGAGAAAACCAAGAGGCAAATGTTGATTTTGGAAAGATCAACATAACTGAAAAACAATTAGTAAGTCTGCTTGAGAGAAAAAGAAAGAGAATACAACTCCAACATCATTAATGAAAAATAAGACATCACTACAGATCCCACAGACATTTAAAGTACAATAAGAGAATATTATAAAACAGATGAAACTGGCAAATTATTTGAAACACAAATTTTCAAAACTGACACAAGAATTAGAAAATATATATAACACTATAACTATTCAAGATATTGAATTAAAAACCTAACCCAAACTGTAAATTAAAAAATTAAAACCACAATGAGAAAACCACCTTACCCCTGTCAGAATTTCCATTATTAAAAAGTCAAAAATCAATAGATACTGGCACAAATGTGGTAAAAAGGGAAAACTTATGCACTGTTGGTGGGAATGTAAATTACTACAACCTCTATTGAAAACAGTATGGAGATTTCTGAAAGAATTAAACGTAGATATACCATTTGATCCAGCAATTCCACTACTGGGGATCTACCCAGAGGAAAAAAGTCACTTTATAAAAAAGTCACCTGTGCCTACATGTTTATTGCAACACAATTCACAATTGTAAAAATATGGAACCAACCTAAGAGCCCACCAACCCAAGACTGGGTAAAGAAAATGTGATATCCACACAGGCACATACACACACTGTGGAATACTGGTCAGCAATATCAAAAAGAATGAAATAATGTCTTTTGCAACAACTTGATGGAACTGCAGGCCATTATTCTAAGTGAAGTAACCCAAGAACAAAGAACAAAGTACAACATGTTCTCACTTATAAGCGGGAGCTAAGCAATGGGTGCGAATGGTCATACAGACTGACTTAACAGGTACTGGAGACTCAGAATGGGGAGGGTAGAAGGGAGATTAAGGATGAAAAATTACCTGTTGGGTACATGTATACTACTCAGGTGACAGTTGTATTAAAAGCCTAGACTTCTCTACTATGTAATTTCAGCCATATAACAAAAAATCAGCTATACCTCCTAGATCTATTTAAATAAAAAGAAAAAGACTCATCATAAATTGAAAAAAAACCTACCCAAAAATATCCCAACCCAGACGATTTCATAGCATTTTTTTTCAATTGTTTAATGATAGAATAATATAGTCCTACAAAAACTCTTTTAGCAAATAGAGAATAAGAAGCAATTTCTAACGCTCAACTCATTTAATGAGGACATTATCCTGGTACTAAAACCTGACAAATACAATTTGAGAAAGGGAATTTTCAAACTATTATACTTCAACTTCTATATTAAGCACAGATACAAAAGTTTTCAACTGAAAATTAGAAAAATTGGTTAGAACAATAAATATCAAGGATAATTCTTCATGAACAAGTTTTATCCCAGAAATGCAAATTTGGTTTCATATCCAAAAAAATCAAACACACAGTATATCTCATTAACAGACTAACGAAGAAAAATCACACAATCATTTCAATAGATACAGAAAATGTACTTGAAAAAATTCAAAACAAATTAATGATAACAAAATACTCTCAGCAAACTTGGAGACAAACAAAGAGCACTTACAGCAATCTTATAACTCACATCACAATGGTGAAACACTGAATTTTCCCTTTAAGATTGGGAACAGGTAGGCATATCTATTCTTATATCAACTCATCACTGTGCTAGAAGACTTATCAAGAGCACTCAAAAAGTAAGAACTAAAATTCATTATTTATAAATGATTTGACTGTATATGCAAAAAGCTATATTAAATCCACAGAACTATTACAAATAATTAGTGAATTTATAAAATTCACAAGACGCAGAGATAATACATTAATACAAAACAAATTGCATTTATATTTACTAAAAATAAAAATTGAAATAAAATTAAAATTCCTATTTACAATAGCATCAAAAAGCATAAAATATTTAGTAATAGATTTATCAAAAATGTACAAGGCCTCTACACATAAAACTAGAAACTTTACAAAGAAAAATCAAAGAAAAACTAAATAAATGAAGACATACACCCTATTTAAAGATTAGTATACTGAATATAATTAAAATGCCAATTCTTCCTAACTAGTATGTAGATTCAGTGGAATCCCATTCAAATCCCATAGAACTTTTTCAAAAAATTTTCAGACTGATTCTAAAAGCAATGGAGTAAAATAGCCAAATTATCTTGAAAAAAAAGTACAAAGTAAAGGACTTGCACTACCTGATTTCAACACTTACTTGAAATTTCAATCAAAAAACTATGGGTTTGAAAATAATAAAAGACAAATAGATCAGTGGAGCATAATAGTGCAGAAATAGATATACTGTCAACTAATTATTTTAAAGCCAAGGCAATAAATAAATTTAATAGTAAAGAAAATCATTTTTAACAAATAGTGCTGGAAAAACTAGACACACACCTTGAGAAATAAATTAAATCTGGATCCCTACATCATTCCATACACAACAATTAATTTGAAATAGATCATAGACTTAAATGTAAAAGATACCAGGAACCATAAAGCATCTAGAAGAAAACATTGAAGAGTATCTTGTGACCCAGGAATAGACAAAGATTTCTTATGACAGGACACAAAAACTAATAATGATAAATAGAAAATTTGGTAAATTTTACTTCATCATATTTTGAAATTTCTGATCATCAAAACCAATGTAAGAAAATAAAGGTGAGGCCAGGTGTCATGGATCACAACTGTCATTCTAACATTTTGGGGCACCCAGGCAGGAGAATTGCTTGAGGCCAGGAGTTTGAGACTACCCTAAGCAATATAGCAAGACCCCATTTCTACAAAAAATAGAAAAATTAGCTAGTCATGGTGGTGCAGGCCTGTAGTCCCAGCTATTTGAGAGGCTAAAGCAGGAGGTTCTGCCTTGAGCGTAGATGTTTGAGGTTGCAGTGAGCTCTGATGATACCACTGTGCTCTAGCTTGGGCAATATAGTGAGACCCTGTCTCAAAAACAAAAACAATCCCAACAAACAAGAAAATGAAAGTGAGATCCAAATTAGGAAAAATTGTATGTATATATACATATATATACTATATATACACCCATGAATATTTATTTATAAATATCATATATATGAGAAGAGACTTTTATACAGAATATATTTCTTGAAATGCTTACAAATCAACAATAAAAAAGCAAACAACCCAATAAAAATAGATAAAACATTTTAATGCACATACATTAAGTGCATGACAACATCAATTTGTCATCAGAAAAGTTCAAACTAAATCCACAATTATTTATGATTTTCTCAAATGTCTAAAATAAAAATGTGAAAATACTATATGTTGGCATGGATTTGTAGCAACTGGAACTCCCATACATTCCAAGTGGGAGTGTAAAATGGCACAATCACCTTAATGAACTGCATGGTAGCTTTTTCTTAAGGTTAAACATGTATATACCCTATGATGTAATTTCATGTCTAGATATTTACCCAAGTGAGATTAAAATAGATTTGCACA